CCCCCCCCCTCTTAGTGCCGCTCCGATCCTAACAGGGTTGACCCGTGGAATAGAGGGCGTGAGGGTCACTATCAAGTCAATGCAAACCGAGGAGTGAAACAACTTGGGTGGAACTAAGTGAAGTGCCTAAGCCGCATGAAAGGAGTCATAGAAGACGGAACATGGAGTGGAGATATAAAGCTTTCTTTGAACAGAGGTCAATGACATGAACTCTTGCAAACGCATGAGCAGGATCATGTCATTCCATGGGTCCCTCATTCTGATGGAGCTGACTCAACCTACATGGTGCCAAAGTCGAAGGGAGCTTCGAGGCACATACACCTTATCTCAGCGAAGCATTTAACGAAGGAACAAATAAGACTCAACTTACGGAGACGAAGTTGGGGTTAGAAGGCCTTAGTATGAGGTAAGAGGATGCGGAGGCAAGTACTCTTTTAAGAATATGTTATGATGTCATTTGAGTTACCACGAAGGAAGCAGGGCGTAGTGGAGTTTGTGTTGGCGAGTAGAGACCCTGGATTCAGACAATAGCGCACCAACTTTAGTGAACTCAGTGGACTTTAGGCACTATTAGGCGACGGATTGTCCTAGAGATATGCATTATCCAGGTATGACCCGAGAGCGAGTGAATGAAGGTCAATTACCAAAGGAGATAATACAATTTGAGGTGGCAGAGGCCTTACGATGTATTGACAAAGGCCATACATGAAGAGGTCCGAGTTCATCCCACAAGGATTAGAATGCAATAGAGATGTCACTAGGAGGCGATATAGTGCAATGGATCGTGGTGGAACAGTTAGAAATAATACAACACACGGGAGAAATCCCACGAGAGAAGCGACGACGAGTCCAAATAGACTCAACTACCCAAAATCAAGTGTCAATTAGAATGGAGGTGGACTCAAAGAAATGTCACAATGCCGTAGAAGCGAATCTTCCAATCACGAAAAAAGGGATGCAAATATGCAACAACGAATAGTTGGGCGATAGGCATGACAGTGCCATAGTATCACAAAGGCGAGACTTCCATGGTGTCATCGACCCCTCGCTCTCACGAAAGGAGAGTGCTTGATCATGAAAGGGGCCGAGGAGATGGAGAATGCAGAAGCAAACTTCAAGTACTGAGATAAGGCTGAAGGGCAAAGGCCAGGGAACTTCGTAAGACCGATATCAACGGGCTTCTCGTCAAAATAGTCAAAAGTGGAGGACATTAGATCGATGTAAACGTGCTCGACTAAGGAATAAAATAAACAGTACCTATGTTGTACCTTTTCTACTCAAAGGAGTAGGCGGCAAAAATATTGGAAAAGACAATACAATCTCAAAGGCAACCAAAATTATTCGAGACTTGCTCCAAGTCGAGACAAAATTTTACTCTTTTTGAACAAAACTTATATTTCAGAAGTTCAATAATAGTGAAAAGGTGAATCACAATTGCTAACTCAACACAAGGAGTGCAAACACTTTAGGTGCTTCGAAAGTGTGAGCAAAGAGCAGGCAAGGGCTAGTAATCAACTCAATGCATGGAGTACAACCATCGAGGAGGCAAGCGAAGCGAGTAGCCTTTACCTTCTCAACTCTTACGAGAATAGGCGAAACTGAGTACCTCAATTCTCTTATTTATCCAAAAGAGAAGCTCTACACATGTTCAAAGACCCTTCGAAAAAACTTAGTGGAAAACAACAGTTGTCAAATTCTCACCAATGGTGATCGATGCTATCAAGAGTAAATTGTCTGTTTCATTTCCCAACAAAATGTCAATCAAAAGCAAAAGTGACGTAAACCTACTTAGAGGTAATAACTAAATGGAAAAGGAATCAATGGGCAAATTTTACGAAAGAAAGACCTCAAAAAATTCAAAGTCTATGAGACAATGCTCAGTAAAGCTCCAACAGGCATCCACTCAATTCAAGCGACACGAGGCATTTGAGAGAGTAGGGCATTACAAGGAAAGTTTTTTCCTTCGTCTAAAGGATCTTCAGGAACCAATAAGGATCAACACAACTCCATCGACACCACACCAGATCAAAGTCATTGGAGAGTTAAAAAAGCGTAGCGAATCAAGGTTCGACTACTCAACAACAACGACGAAGTGTAACTAGGAGCCAAGAGGTGCATTGTAATTGGAGCAGAAGATTGAATATTTTACAAAGGCTTCGATAAGGTCGTCAAAGGAATAAGTGGAGAAGAATGTCACCGACAAAGTTGTAAATAAAATGTTTGATGTAATGCTCGTGTATGTCCACGTCGTTCAATTTTGTTTATACTTTGAACAACAGGTAAAGAGCTTGCAATACGCTTGGCAGTCTCATTTTGGTTAACTCTTGTGGTCGTTTCAAGCTTATAAACGCAAGTTGTGTTCAGTCATCACATAATGGCAAAGCTGCCTAAAAAAGGCCATCCATACAGCCATTTTAGGGGTTTTCTAACTTCGTAAAGTGGTGCGGAGTTCAGCAAGCATAGCATCCAGGAGCTACCTAGGTGGTATATGGATAGATGAGCTTTTAAGATAGTGTATAGGGCTGGTTCGCTGCCTTGCAATAGTATCATATGAGCACTTATGGGGACTTTTGGCTATATAGCGAACCACCTTGGACCCTTTGTCACGAAACCGTTTAGAGCTTGCGAAGTCAGCATTTGTAATTTGTCTATCAAGTGCTAGCTAAAATGGCTGTTTGTGGATCCCAACTTAAACACTTTCCCTAACATGTCTTCTCTTTTATAGGTCCTTGAGGGAGCATAAGAGTTTTCGAGGAGGCCCATCCTTTGTGAACAGAGCAATTTCACCCATTTAATCTGGCATGGCCTTTTTCACTCCATGAACTCACCATACCAAGCTTAGAGGATGGTAAACAGCCCAATATCAAATAGTAATGCATGGTAAAAGTTAGACTACCATCGAATAGTAAGAAGTACAAACACGTTCTTTTGGTGGACGTGTTAATGTTTGACTACAACACACGATCAAATACGTGCCCAACACGTCTCCAACCATATCTTTTTGATTTATTTTCAATTCTATTTGTGGGTCATGACACCACTGCCACTTCGCTCCCGCATGCTTCATCGTGTGGCCCTCACATGCAACACTATGCTCGCATTCTGCAAGAAGATGAATTATCACCATAGCAAGGAAAAAAAATCTGAAAATCATCGCAGTGGAGATAAATTATCGACATCGCAAAGAAAAAAATCTAGAGATTGTTAAATATTATTTGATGTACTTAACCTTTATTTTGGATAATTACATTTGGATTATTTTAATGGTTTCAACCTGTATGATGATATTTATTTATTCACATTACAAAGTTTATAAAATTGAAGTACAAATACTATAAAACTCATGTTAATAGAATATTATATACATATATATATATATATATATACATAAATACACATGTCCTCTCCATGTCCGTATCCTAATTTTTTTTTAAATAATGTGTCATCGTGTCCATGTCATGTCATGTTATGTCCATGCCCATGCTTCTTCAATCGAATACGCACATTTTTTTCTTAAGCAAAAAAAAACTAACAAGTGGCTCTCTCTCTCTCTCTCTCTCTCTCTCTCTATCCATCTATCTATCTATCTATCTATCTTTTTTCGTCTTTTCTCTTTCAAGATACCCATGTTCCAGTTGACTATTGCTCTCTCTTTTTCTCCCTCTCTTACTCGTTCCCTTTCTATTCTCTTTCTCTCTTCTCTCCTTGGACATCTCCTCTTGCTGCCTCTTGCTACATCATGCCATGTCTTCCTTGTGGCATGGTAGCCACTTCTCTTTCAGTTGCATTATTATTACCACCTCCTCTTTCTTCGAGTACTCAGTCACCACCTCCTCCTTGTCCTCTTCTTCGCTTCCTACCAATCCTTCCCGCATCCTCCTCCAATCAAATTTCATAAACTATGGGGCATACCAAGTACCAACATACAATGCATCCCATCATGCCAGTACTAGACCAGTTTGCTAAAGAACTGATATTGGTAACAAACCAAAATATAGAAAACCATGGCACAAACTATAAAAGAAGTCTTGAAGATGATACAGAACTTGTATACATAGCAAGAATTAAAATATGATTTTAAAATAATGTTTTTTTAAAAGAATAAAAAATAACTGGCATGTCAAGGGAAGATATCCAAGATACAATAAATCAATAGCAACAAAAAGTGTGATGCTTATGAAATTAGTAGGAAAACTAAATCTGAAATAAAATGGAGAAAAATACTGTTCATAAGCAAGCCATACAACCAGGTGATCTTTGACACAGTTTGTATGATTATTGCTGCTATCCATTTAAGCCATATATGAGTATATGATTGTCAGTTCTAGAATGATCGGTTATGTGACAAATACTTCTATGCCTTTAATCATTGAAATATGATATTTGCATCTTACAGAACCCCAATGGCACAATAGCTAAAATTTCAAATTATGCACGAAGGTCAACAATCCAAGAAGATTCTTTGCTGGCAACATAACCAGAGTAGAAATAACTGATAAAAAATATATCTCACTCAAAAACATGTCAATAACTACATATACATATACTTATAATCATATATGTATTCACATCTACCAATATAACTATTTTATACCTCTACACATTGACAAATACATGTATGTTTATACACTCAACAAGCACTAATAATATACTGCATAAAAAAATACAGAATAAGACCTTTTCTTATGCATGCTAGACAAGACACCTACTAGGGTGTTTTCCAACAAAAAATTGCATGTTTAAGACTACAGAAATTAATTTACTGCTCAAGGGTAAATCACTTTGTGAGATTTATCAAAGAAAAAGATTAAATAATTTTTTGCATAGCACTGTCTCACAGCATATACTGTACAGGAATGAGTGATTCAATTACAATCTAATCATCCCATAAAACCTCTATTGTACATTACAAACCATCCCATATACTGTACAATAACTTAGCAAGTCTGCATTTATTTGAATCCAAAAATTTAATGTGCCTGAAATCAAAATGCTCATAGGTCTGTTGAGATGGAAGGTGTGACATGGAAATTAGCTCATCAAGAAATCATGAAAACATTTCAAAACATTTTTCATCAATTCTAGTAATATTACAATAAGAAACTCTGCTTCCTAACCAAAATTATTATAGAATTCATATTTTTCTAATGCAGAACAAATACAAAATGGAACTTAAGCTTCAATATAGCATTGATAATTAATTCTGTATAAAACAATCAATAAAGTTTTCAATTAATTTATGTAAATGAGGCAAGAACAAATATTTACTGGGTTCAGACTGATTCTATCAGCTTTAGAGGAGCCTGCCATTGCTGCATAACTGAAAAACCATGAATCCATTTACAATCACATACCAACTGATCAAGAAAGAAATATTATGATGCTAGCTTATGGCTATCTGGTCTATAAATAGGTAAACATATAATACATGGAACATAAATGAAGTATGTAATCAGCTAATTCCATTTTGAAAAGACAATACAAGTGAAAAACTCAATAATAAATCTAAACAAATTATATCAGAAACTATCAAACATGCCAAGAAAGCTTCACAAAGATCTGCAGGAAACAAAGAATTAGTAAATTTTGAAATGCTTGAATTCAGTTCAATATTTGACTAGAGAACATAATAGCATAATATCCTATTTTTATTTTCAAAAAATAAATCACATTTATGCAACTTATTTTTTTTACATATTTAAGTGGTTTAACAAAGCTAAAACATCTAACATCACTTATTACTATCAAATTGGAAAAGAAAAGTCAACAGTTAAATGCCCATAAGCATAATTAATGAACACTAAGATCATAAATCCTCAAGGGCCAAGCTTTCTTAAAATATTACAACATAACCATTACAATAGATTGCCATTGACAAAAATGACAAATAACAATGCACTTAATGTGCCAAAAGCTATGCACATAAACTTAGGATTTTAGACAGTGATTTAATGGGCGCTCTCACCTAGACGCCAATGCAAGACAATGCTTGAGCATCTCGAATTGGTCCAAGTGGACAAATTGAAGCAGGTGCAGCCCAGGTGCATGATTGAGCCCAAGCACCGGGTGGCTCAGACCCACATCAGATTTAAATAAGGCTTGGTTTAGTGGATTAGTACCAATGAGTTTGGAAGATTGGACTTACTAAAGTTGGTTCAACTGAATCCCTTTAACCCAAATCCTCCTCTAGTGAGACCTACTAATGTTGCCTTCCTCCTTCCCCCCTCCCCTACGACATGTGGCACACGAACCCTACCGATGTTGTTTTCCCTTGGTAATCGAACACAATGGCCCCCAGGCCCACTGTCGCCATGCAAACCTTGCCTAAGTTTGATTCCTTCTATAATCGATAAGGAAGCATAATTTGTAGTCAACTATCCTTAACCTGCACATGCAAAGGCGACCGATAATCGGCATCCATGCATAAGGTGACCCTCCATGAAGCCTCCTCTCTCGCAAACGGTAGCACTTCCTCCTCCTTTCCCTCTCTCCCCCCTCCCAACGAAATGGTGTGACTCTCGCCTATCCTTCCCTTTCATTGTCGCTCTTCCTCTATCTCCTCCACCTCGGACCTCGTCGAGCCTCCCTATTAGGCCCCCTCGCTCCTCCTCCGTGCTTATCCCCTCTCCCCTTATCTCCCTCCCCATCCTCCTTCGCCATCACCCCCACCAAGCCTTATCAATAGCCCCTTCCCTCCTCTTCTTCCTCCCTTGTGCTCCCCTCTCTCTCCCCCAACCCTTCTTCCATTCCGTTCTTGCTCTCCCTCTTTCTCCTCCTCGATCGCCACCCTTTACCTAGACTCCCCAATTGTTCCTCTCCCTCCTCCATGCTTCTCCAATTGACAACACCCTATGGAACTCAACTATTGTCTTGTTTTTAATTTAGTGATGATGTGTCTCCTTAATTATAATTTTTATGATTCTAATACTTGCAAGCAAGGTTCGTCTTACCGTACCGTACTGGCGTTTCGACCTGGGCTCAGTATGGTACGGTACGGTGTACGGAGCGGTACACCTAATTTCACAGATTTAACCCTCCGAAAATACTTGAAAATTAAAAAAAAAGTTAGGATAAGGTTTTCAAGTTACAAATAAATATAGTAAAAGTATAAGTTTAGCAAAATCAATGTAAATTAGGTAAGAATAGTATCACATATCTTTTTCGGGTTTTGAGGTAGTTTTGTTTAAGGTTCGTATTTCAGCCCATTATAGATTGAAATATCTACAGAAAAATCAGTTGAATTGTTAGACTATTTTGTTACAATAAAAACTCTAAAATTCAAATGAATTAAATAATCACATATGTAGATATATCTAATTGTTGATTCTATCACCAAAACGAACGACGGGCCTCCACGGGTGGTGGATCAGGGTCCTCGATCCAATACATCTGCATATCAATATGATACGTTTGTTTGACCTAATCATGAAATTGATCACATGACATAGTGTATTGATACAGCATATGTCATTGATGCATCAATGTGGTGCTGATCGTAGATTGATCGTCACGAATCATATTTGTCCGAGGCAGCTCTTGAGGCATATATTGGTGAATGTCAAAGCTTCTACTTTCGTTACTGATCTGCTGTTCTGTATCATACTATTGCTCAGAGAAGGATGACCAACTATCACCACACTGTTGTTGCCCGTATGATTCTCCATAATACGATGGCTATGAATACGATGAGCCTCTTTCTGTGTCTATATCATGTATGCTCTGTCGCATTTGTTCATATTCATCCACTGTCTTCCCCTTCCCCTTTCGCGCATAAACTTGATCAGTATCTTGTCGAGTTCCATGATCTAAATTTTGAGTGGCATGTGTAAAATATTGCTCCTCAGTCCATTCACCACCCTCAAGTTGTGTAGACGAGACCAACGACTGCCTGGCATCACCGCCATCATCTGTCGAGGCACTGCTGTCCGTGTTGCTGTCATGTCTCTGGACCGAGCGAGAAAGAGAATGTGATTGTGAAGGTGTCTCGTCGCCTGACTCGATTCTTTCCAACGATGCAACTGATGCTACTGCCTTCCCTTTTGCCTTTGCACGTTGGGCGGACGAGTGTGACCATTGGGTGTCGGTAGTTCCTCGAGCAGCTTGACTCCTACCACATAGTAATCGAGGGGGATTTTCCACCTGTTGGGGTTGTGCTTCTTCTTCTTCCATTGCCTCGGTGATAAAACGTGAAGGACACTGAGGATCTCCCGCCTCGTCAAATAGAGGATCCTCTTGGTTCTCTGCTGCTTCAACCCAATCTAACATTGGCTCTGAATCTTCGTTGTAGAATTGGAGGTCAATGGGATCAATATCTGGTTCCTCTAGCTCCTTATCCAACTCAGCACATCGCAATTTTAACCGCATGTTATAATGGACATATACTAGTTTCTCTAACCGTCTGTAGGAGAGTCTGCTGCGGACCTTCGTATGAATCAATGCAAACGTTGACCAATTACGTTCGCAACCACTAGATGTTGTTTGTGAAAGTACACGAACGACAACCTTCCTTAAATGCGGTGCATTGCCTCTAAATTGTAGCCCCCACTCGACTACAAAAATATATAAATAAGATTTTATTACCATAACAAATAATTAACATTAAATATAATTGATAATCAATATGCATAACTTTTCCTCACCAGGATCCATAGTGTAACGACACGATACATCTACAACGTCGGAGAATGAACCAACTGTTTCTCGAAATAATCGACCCTCCATAAGAGCATCAGCTGCCTCGGTAGTGTTTGGCAAGAGCCGATATATAACATTTCTTAGTGTCGTTTATTTTACGTTCTGAGAGCATATCGATATTGAATTGTCGGATTTAGATAATACGCTGCAAAACATAATTTTGTTAGTATGATTTTTTTATTATCTAAATAATAATAAATTTAATTATTCTGAATATGAATTTCCCTGCATTATGGATATCTTGATCCATATGAACTTCGGTCCAACGATTAATGATTCGTACGTATTGGTCGACCTTAAAATCATCTTTAAATGCTTTCCTAACCTCCTCTCTTGCTGAAATCAATATATATTTAAGATACGACATATGTGGACGCTTGTCCATATCGACCTTACGGAGGACAATATAAAGTGGTTTCACATCGTTTATGATTTCTGCTATAGTCTCCCAAAATTTAGAGGAAAGAATGGCCTTTTCTATCTTCTTTCCATCGCTCAATTTCAAATATCTGGATTCAGACCACCCTTGTGAGGTAGCCATTGACTTCAAGCCATGCCTTTTTTTGCTGTAATGACTTTAATGCAATAAAATTGGTAGCAAACCGAGTACTTCCAGGTCGAAGTATCTCACCGTTTACATGCTTTTACATTAAAGCGTGGACCCAATGATGATTATATATAAACTTTGTAAATGATTATGCTCGAGCTACACATTTCTTGACTACATCCAACTCACCAATATCCTTCAGCATTAGATCTATACAATGAGCTGCACATGGAGTCCAAAACAAAGTTTTTCTTTTTTCCATCAATTGCAAACCGGCCTTTTTGAAATTCGCTCCATTGTCGGTTATTATTTGGACAACATACTGTGGTCCAATCTCCTCTACCATAGTGTCCATCAAGCTCTCAATGTAGTTTGCATCTTGAATCTTTTCAGAAGCATTAACGGACTTATGAAACACCACTCTTCTATTGCAATAAACAAGAAAGTTGATGATACTCATTCTTGTTGATCCTGTCCAACTGTCACACATCAATGTCACCCCATATTCGTCTAATTGCCTCTTGAAGGATAAGATCCAATCCTTTAGTTCTGCCACCTCCTCATCTAAGTATACCCCGTAAATCTCTTTCGGTGTTGGAGGTTAGATCCTCGTGCCAGACTTTTGAATAGAAGAGACCATGCTCTGATAATATGGACCTTGGGCTGTGTTGGCTGGAATCCTATGGAAGTTGAACCATTTTGAGATTGTCTTCCCAATATCCCGTTTTTTTTCTTTAGTGCATGTATCGTCAATCCGTGTCTGTTTCGCTGTTTGTGGAGTACAGGCTTGCGGATCAACATCAACAATATCTGGTGCGGACCTCCTACCAAGACCTCTCATAAAACCACGGAGTCCACCGTACCTCATACTACTAGTTCGGCCTAACTGAGAAGGAGCAGTTAGTTGCCTCATGCCGGTTGACCTCTGGATTCCACTACCACTGCCATGCTCCAATTGTGAGTCAGGTCGTCGATGCCTCATTGCTTCATCGACCATATACTGATGCTCCAATGATGCACGAATCCCAACTGTGAGATCCGGGTCGACTTCATCGCCGCAACCCTCATATTGATCATAA